ATCTATCCAAAAATGGAAACATTTGCACATCACATTCATAAAAGCTTCTATTCACAATAGCCAAAATGCGCAGACAAAGCAAGGGGCCGTCTATGAATGAATGGCTGTACAATGTGTGGTATAGTCACACAATGCAGTATTCTGTGGCCAAGCCCTGGCTGATAAGTGGAACAGGTTCTTGGGGCCACGCCGGGGTTGGTTCATTAACTAGTGAAAGCCAAGGCCGGACAGAGGTAAACACCTGCACCGTCCTGTCCCTCTGTCCTGCACCCGGCCCCTGGGGAGGTGATTCTTCCATTTTGCCAGAGGCCCCCCACCCTGTGGTAGACCGACCTCCCCACCTCACAGCCTGCAGCACCCTGGCCACAATCCCACGGAGACCCGCCCAGCATACACAGGCACCTCCTTCTTGGCAACCGGCCTCACCCTGGAGCAACCTCCAGGAAGGTAAGGGGCTGATGGGAAATGGATTGAAATCAATCTGGTCCGCAGAACCCAAAGGCACTCTGCTTGGCAACATGGGTCTGAACCTGCAGGTTCTGCCCTGCATTGCAGGACTGAGCTTCCGGGGCTGCTGGGGACGAGGGGGGGACGCACGTGTGTGGTGGGGAGGCGGCTCACTCCTCTCACCTGAAACCGCAGACCCTTCGGGGTCACTGTTAGGTCTGATCAAATAATCGAATGGATACCCCTCCCCCCCAACTGGCTTTTCAGGCCATTTCACTATGGACATTCCCTTTGCTGCGACCACATTCCGGGTCTGCACAGAGAACTGTCCGCCCAGAAAAAGCCCGCCAAAAGTCCTTTAAAAGCCGCTGACTCCCATCCAGGCCCGGCCACCTGGTGTGCGGATGATGGGATAACTTCGAAATCCCGCACCACTCCGGCCTCCCGCGTTCCTCCTTCGGGGACCTGACAGTCCGGGTGCACCCAAGGGCGTCCGCACTCGCGCACCGGTCGGCCCCCCCGGGGGCGCGTTAGGGCCGAGGGCGCAGATGGTAGCAAACTCATCTTTTACAGCGAGAATGTCCAGGTGGGAGACCGCGACCCCTCAGCAGATCTGGACACCGCGGGTCACCGGACTCCGGGGGGCGGGGGGCGCTCTTGGGGACACAGTTTGGGATAAATACGCCCACTGCTCCTGAGCTAAAAGTTTTGCGTTCCCGCCCCGCCCCCACCTGACGCCGCGCAGCTACACCGACATTCACCCCCAGCCCCTGCCCCTAAAGGATCAATTTTCCCACCCGAAATGAAGCGAAAAACCAAATGATGAACGGACGGGTATATTACAGGCTCATCTCCCCCAAAATGCAAACCACACACACCCGGGATCCCCGGCGGGGCGCTTCCAAGGGCTCCGCAGACCCCAGCGCCACTCCGCCAGTCGTGAAGTTTGAGGTCCCGGTCCCCGGGTACCACCTTGGAGCCACCTGAAACCCCCGGACTTTCCAGGGTAGGTTCCCCGGTGTGACACCGTGGGAAGGTGATCCGTATCCGGCCTTCTAGCTTATCGCCCGGTGGAGGCGGGCCTTGGCTAGGAAATGGAATTGCCAAAACTTCCCATGTGCCCTGGAGGAGCGGTGGAGGAGGAAACC